AAAAAAAAAAATTTGTCCCGACGATCTATCTTCTATACGCAAATGGCTACCATATTGAAAAATATACTATTTTTGTATGATAATTATGGGTTTTGTATTTTATTTTAATAGAAGTTGATGTTGCTTTTGCAATTATCCATCAATTTTTTAAAATTAAACACTATCTACAGATTTGCATCGAAGCGTTTCTTATGATAGTGATTTTAATCACTGTCAGATTAAATCTATACTGGACCCTACTATGCAATGTCTCTACTATGCCGCGACCCCACTGTGCTACCGTTTTTTTTTAATTTTAGAGGAGCTAAGTCCCTTCATTTTGTGCCAATGTACAATAGCAAAAAATATCGCAGCTCCTTTTTATTACTATTATAACTTTCGTAATATATAATAATAATGAAGATGTATACATCTTGATTTATCTGATTGATTCACTAATATTGATACATCAATATTAGTTTCATTAACAATTATCACCCATGATTTAAAAAAATGTAGTATTGATTAAAATAAATTATAGTTAATAAGTAACCGTTGGAAGTAATTGAAAATAAATAAAAAATATTAAAATTAAAATAATAGAAGAGTGTTACGTTTTAATGTACCATTTAAATAATAAAATATGTTTAAAACCTATCGCCAACGACCATACCACGTTGAATACACCAGTTCTCGTCCGATCACTGAAGTTAAGCAACGTCGGGCGTAGTTAGTACTTGGATGGGTGACCGCTTGGGAACACTACGTGCCGTTGGCTTATATATTATTTCCTAATTTTTTTTTACAAACATAACAGTATTTCAATGTCTCAATTATTATATAAATTATATTGACTTAATGAAAAAATTATTTTCAAGTTCAGAAATTTTTAAATATAAAATTATTTTTCAATTACTTATATATAAATTTATATTACGTCTTATATTATGCATAAGCTTTCGAGACCTGTATTAATTTTATAAATGTGTACAAGGTTGACGTCAACAATAGTTATAACACCGTCTTATATTTTTAAGTTTCATCCTATCACTTTCTTTTAGCGTACTCAATATTTATGCATGAATAAATAATGATTTTATCATAAATTATAATGATTCTTCTATGCAGTATTATTAGTAGTATATAAAATATTATTTGAAATAATATTTAATATTAAATAATATTTTAATACAATAATATTACTAAAATTATATCAGGTGTTTAAAAAAAATTAGGAAAATAATATAAGCCAACGGCACGTAGTGTTCCCAAGCGGTCACCCATCCAAGTACTAACTACGCCCGACGTTGCTTAACTTCAGTGATCGGACGAGAACTGGTGCATTCAACGTGGTATGGTCGTTGGCGATAAGTTTTAAACATATTTTATTATTTAAATGATACATTAAAACGTAACACTCTTCTATTATTTTAATTTTAATATTTTTTATTTATTTTCAATTACTTCCAACGGTTACTTATTAACTATAATTTATTTTAATCAATACTAAATGTTTTTAAATCATGGGTGTTAATAGTTGATGAAACTAATATTATATTATAACACATTGGTAAAGTGTGACAATGTATCAGTTGTTAACATCTGATATATCCGCCTATGATAAAACCATTGAGAAAAGAGTAAAGCTGTCAATATTTCGTTATCATAAACAAAATTTTGACTAAGGACCTAATACTATATTGAGGTTTTTTATAATAGTCCAATAACTAATTCTTATAGTAATGTGTGAGTATGCTCATTCAAAAATTATCTATTTAGTAAACGCGGATAGTTTGTTAAAAGATAAAAAATTTATTTTATTTTCAACGCTGTCCAAATACACATAAATTAAAATAATTTTGTACATTTTCAAATAGAGTTGTAAATTATAAATGAATAATGTTACCTAATGATATTTCAATTTACCATGAAAAACAAGTAATCAAAATATTTTATTTCCTTGAATGTTATTCAGTTATTTATAATTAGTGCCTATTATTATTATTTTCATGAAACTCCTTTAAATAGTCAAAGGAATTATGTGCATTACATGCATTAAACAATTTATTCCAGTCCAAGGAAGCATTTAAACAAATGGAACTAGATGCTATTTGCTTTTCACTATCACCTAACAATTATATAAATCCTCATAGATCTATTTTAGGCCTAGGAAATTATGATGTCAATGTGATAATTGCTGCTTTACAAAATAAAGGATATAATGCAATATGGTTTGATAAAAGAAAGTTAGTACAGTTATTAAAATGTTTTATTTTTCTTTTATCCTAAAAATTATATATAAATATTGGTTAAATATTTTGTAGTTTATTATTAATGTGCTTATTATTTCAGTACTAGTTTAAATGATTTAAAAGAGTTTTCAACATTTACAAATTGCTAAATATTATTTTCTATTAATTAAATTTAAAACATAATAATGCTATTTAATTATGTATAAATTTGTACTATTAACACATGTATGACTATGAATTGTACACATGACTATATTATAACATTTTTTTTTAGTTATTTTTCTGAATATTTTATAAAATTATTTTATTAATAGGGATCCAAAAAGTTTGAAATTAGATCAAATATTTGGTTTTGTAATGAATATACCTAGTGAATGTCGACTAGGGTTTTTGTGGCTACCTTTAAAAAGACGCCATTGGATATCTATTAAGAATATTGGTGGTACATATTTTAACCTAGATTCAAAGTTATCACATCCTTCGCAAATTGGAAATGTACGTACTACATCATACTCAATTATTTATTTCTTATTTAAATCATAATAATTATAAATATAACATTAGTCATTTTTTTTTTTTTTTTTGTAGGAGAGCGATTTGTTGAATTACTTCAAAGATCAACTATATATAAATGATAATCAGTTATTTATTGTTGTATCCAAAGACAACAATAATTGGATTTCTTTAGATGAAAATTGAGTTTAAAAATAAAGGCATATGAAATTTTTTATTTTTGTTTTTAGTAAAATTTAAAATGTATTATTAATTTTAGTAATTATGTAAAAGCTTTATTGTGGTACATAATCTTAATAGAAATCTCTGTGTAGTTTTTAGAACCATTCTGTCAAATTATTCTGGTGATGCATTTGACAAAAATTTAACTTGATTTTTTTTAAAGTTAGCTATTTATATAAAAAAAAAGTATTTATTGTATGATTTGTATGACAATTTGTATGACAATTTGTATTTTTTATTCTTTATTAACTATTGTTTTAGTAAAAATATTTTTTACTTTATTAATTTCATTGAAAAATATAAGAATGTTAAAATAGTTTATACAAATTTAAAATTTGTTCTCAGAGTAAAAGCATTTTACTGCTTAATGTTTATTTATTTTGTTACCACTGTTTTACTAGCAATGATAAATGTTACATTAAATTGAGTGCATCTTATGCACTTACACAAAATATAAGAATTTATTTTTTTATGACAATGTTATATTTGTATATTGTAATATTTAAATACCTACTATCTAAAATTAAAATAAATCATTTATATTTTGTTCATGTAATCTACATGATAAAAAATTAAGATGAACTCGACAATATATTTGTGGTTTATATCAAAAATAATTTTCTTAATTTTTCTTTTTTTGTAATTGTATTATTTGTAAGTTATGATCAAGTTAAGTAATAAACTGAGAAAAAATTAAAATCAATAAGTTTGTGAAATTTAAATAGTAACTCTTCTTGAGCTAAGTTAGTAATAAATAGCTATAATAAAGAATAATAACTATACATAATGGCATAAAATTATCCAAAATGTGGAATAATTAACATAAAATAAATTTAAGTTAATGATTTATAATTTATAATAAATAATAGGTTACCACGTGATTATTTAATAATCAACAATATGGTTAAATTATATAAAAAAATGACCTAACAAAATAGTATAATAATAAATGACATTACAATTTATGTACAAAAGGAAAAATGATATTTTACTTAATTTAAGCATATATTTAAATTTTAAAAATAAATGCAAAATACTGGATTATTACACTTAAGTGCAATTTAAATTATACAAACAATTAACTTATACTTTATTTTCATAAAAAAATGTAAAATTTTTAATTAACAGTAATACAATAATGAAAATGGCATAATTCACTTGTCTTTCATTGGGTCATTTTATTTATGGAATCTAGTATATTAAAATTACAAAAACTTACATAAATTTGATTAAATTTATAGAAATATAAAGGTTTTACCATGTGCAGAGGAAGACTTCAATATAAGAATGAGATACATATAAAAGGCAATGACTTTATAAAATACATTAAAGGTAATTTGATTACTTAAAATTCAATGAGATAAATTCATAACAAATACCCGCTTAATGAATAATAAATATTATTGAAGCATTAATGACTCCAAATTTCTATGAAGAATTGTATCTTTAACAGCATTGAATACAACTTTGATGTTTTCTGTATCTACAGCAGTTGTGAAATGATGAAACAGAGATTTTCTTGGATCACGCTTAGCTTGACGAAAGAAATCTAATAAAAATGCCTGCACATCTGGTAAACTGTGAGGATCTCCTAAAAATCAATAGAATAGAGTAATGAACGTCAGTGAAATTTTTTTTCCGTTGGCTATTAATTAAAATTTCGTTTTAACTATAGAGGTGATTTTTTAAAAAAATGTCAAGAAATTTACTTTTTCATGCATCACTAAAAATTTATTGACAATTTTTAAATCAATTTCATAACTTTAAAACAAAATTAGCATATACTAAAATATTCAATGGTAAAATTTTACACTAATACACAGTCTTAGGTACTCTTTAATAAAAAACTAAATTGAATAAAAATTTTAATTAAAATGTATAGCCAATTGATGTGTTTACATAAATTTTGTTAAATATCTGAAATTATAAACTACATTTGAGTGTAAATTTGGGAAATAAAAATGAAAGAAACTTCTAATTTGACATATTATTAATCAATCACAGTAATTTGGTAAATATTTAATGTCATGTATAAAAGCTAAAATAAATTATACATATATAAATTTAAGTATATAAAATACAATTTTATAATACATATAAATTATAAATATTTTAGTGCAACAAGTCAAAATGTATTATTTTCAAATTTGATTGTGTTAAAATGAACAATATTGTATCCAATTCTAGTGGTAGAAATTGTCAGTAATTTAATAATAGTATCAAATTAATATATATAAACATTTTATCTGCAAAAAAATTGTCTGTAAAATAACCTTTATATTATATTAAATTTTGATGTAGTTATTTGTTTTACTTTCATCTTACAGTAAAATTAAAAAGTTGAGCTCTCTAATTTTTTTTTTCGTTTAATATCATTTCTCATTTGTAATTCATTATTTTTGATGGCTATAGGTTCTTTTGAATTAAAAAAAGTTGGACTGTACATTTTAGGTTAGAGAAAAAATAAAAAAATGTATTTCAGATCCTAATTTGGGGAAATAATTGTAGAAGATTTTTTATGTTTTTAATTAAAACTACTTCAAACAGATATTAAAAAAAAATTGAGTCTTAAATACACAATTTACATTATTTCTGGTATAAAATTGTTTATAAAATCATTATTTAATGTGATTATAACATATGATATTTTAAGATTTCAAATAATAAAATAACTTACAATAATTCTATTAAATTTTGGTAAGCATGAAAAAAAAAATCAAATACTTCAAACACAATTTAATTATATATAGTAAATAATATCTTACCAGTATAGTCTGAGAAATAATTTTTGATATTGGTTTCTTTTCTTTTTAACTTGTCAGCTAAAAGGTCAGTTTTATTCATAAAAAGAATTATTGAAACTCGTCGAAATATAACATTATTTACAATTGAATCAAAAATATTTTTTGATTCTTCAAGTCTATTAGTTTTTCTGAAAAAAAAAATTATTCTTGGTATAATTTAAATTTTAATTAAACTAATACAAAATTTCGATGTAAATTGTTTATCATATGATGTGCTCATTAAATTGTGTGAACTGATGTCATGTATCAGGCTTTATAATCAATTAAATTTAATATGACCATTCTATACTTTCTTTACTTTTAATTTTACTTAAAAAAAATTATGATTAAACAAATGAAATTTAATCTAAAAGATTTAACTAAATAACAGGCCTGCATTATTTATGAATTTTTGAACAGATCGCAAGTAGTGGCATCATTTTTTGCTGGCTTTTTTTTTTTGCTCACTAAAAATTTTTTCTTTATTTGCTAATTTCTAAAATATTGATGAACAAAAAAAAATGTTTATGCATCTTTAAAAATAATCTATTTTAAAAAATGATTAATTAATAATAATTCATAACCGGCATTTTTAAAGAAAAATTTTAATTTGTTAAAATTTCAAAATGAAGGTTAATGGTGAGATACGGGTCTCATAATTCTTATTATGGGATATTCTATGATGTGTTACTCTTTCCATCTAGATATAAAAATAGTAATATCTTCTAAATTAATGAATCAAAAGTTGTAATTGATTTATTATTTTCTATAATGAAAAACTATCTAACTAAATTTTTCCAATATACAAACTAGTTAAGTTTTTGTTTTTACTTTAAAAACTAATAATATATATATATATTATTTAGGTATTTTGTTAAGTATAGTTTCAATTAATCAATTTTTATTTAATAATGATAATATATCATAAATAAAAACTGTTATAAATATATAGGGCTAAAATTAGAGTCATGATATCAAGACATTATTTAAGATTTCATCAATTTTTTCACTGATATCACCTTAAGATAAATTTTTTTGATATATCAACCCTTATTTTGGTTATAAAATTACATATCATTATTAAAATGTATTTACCTATCCTCCACTAAGACTTGATCAAATTCTGATGAAGAAACCAGAAACAATATTGAAGTAACAGAATCAAAACATTGAAACCACTTCTGTCTTTGGGATCTTTGGCCACCTACATCAACAAATCTGAAAGGTATGTTATTTATCGGAATTGTAAATTCATAAATGCCTTTAGTAGCTCTTCTGGCATGTAATATGTCTTTATTTGTGGGTAAATAGTCCTAAAAATATTTTATAGTAAGATAAATAAATGCTTATACTAATGAATGAGTTGTAAATTAATCATATACTATTTAAGTAACTTACACTTCTTGCAATGTTTTCAATATTGTCAAGAAAATATTGAACTGAATCACTTAATTGAAATTCTCTTCTTCTTTCAAATGCTCTTTTAATAGCTGAATCTTTCCATAAACAATACATTGATGGAGCATATGCTAGAAATAATCTAGTATCTAATGTTGTACGATTGTCAAATTTTAAAACAAACTCTGCACGTTCATTATTATCAGGATTTTCCCATGGTATATCTAGTTTTTGTCTAGCATCTACTAAAACTTTCATACCTACAACAAAAAAATATTTTTTAAATTTTAATTTTTACTCTCGCAAAATAACATACCTCTTAATATATTTTGATAAATAATGTGCTGATATTCAATGACAAGCTCTGGCTCAAATTTTATTCCATGAATAATACGCATTTGCTTAAGAAAAGTTGATTTTCCACTTTCTCCAGCTCCTAGGAGTAGTAATTTGACTTGACGGCGCAACAGGTGTTTATCTTTATCTATGAGTTTGTCAATTTCTTTACTTCTGTAATGTTGTTCCATTTCATCAGCACTGAATTTGAAACGCAAGCAGCAGGGACATGCAATTGTACATCTTGCCATTTTTCAAAGTGTATCATCTTTTTTCACAAAATACACTAATACAGCATAAAATTTCAACTACTCTCTATTAATAAAAACTTAATATTAAACTTATAGAACCGTAAATACACAATGAATTTTCCATTTTAATTAAATAAGTGAATTTTGTTTTTCATAAGATAAATGTAAAAATAAACAAAACAAAATATTAGTCATTTGGGTGGAACAAAATATATAATAGACGTTTTAACTACCGATATTTTGAAAATACTTACGCCAGTGTAAAAACAAGCACTCCACATTTTTAATCATTGAATAAATTATACTTTCTACAAATTTATCGTCAATAAAAAGGAATAATATTTTTCAGATGAATTAAAATAATGCTACTTAGTACTAAGAGGATTGATCTTGAATTTCTTTTATTGTGTTTGTATTGATAAGAAGATAACATATTATTATTTCCACGGCACATCCTATGTCCGCCATCTTGTGGCAGATTATAAGTTATCAATTTATCACGGCATAGTGTAAACAGTTAAGAAGCTCCGGTTATGTTCTATTAGTTTGCGCTCATCAACAAACTCTTTTATTATCGACCTCAGATTTTCTTTTTGTTCATCAAGAACGAACAAATAAAAAATATAGCCGGTACGTTAAAACAATGTTTGTATTTATGTTATTTAGTTGAAAAGTATTTATTGTTATTTATAATGTATATTGTTATTATGTTAAATCATTCTTGTAAAAATTAAATCTAATATATTATCAAAATTTAATTTATTTATTGTTAAATTAAAATTATCAATTTCACGTAATAGTAAAACAGTAAAATTTTAAACTATTGGTACAAAAATTTGTTTCATTCTGTTTTTTTAATGATATTCTTCCTAATATTTTAGTTAATTGATAACAATATATTGATATAATTCAAATTGAATCATTTTGTTATAATCTATAAAATGTTCAACCCAATAAGTCAGTAAATGTGCTTCATGGTATGCTATCTTATTTTAAAGTTCTTTATTTATGATGAATTTAAAATATTATTTTGTACCATACACATTTTGATTTTAGTAATTTAATATAAAACAAAAATGTTAAACATATCTTGTAAGATTGACAGTATATGTTGTAAGATATAACAGAAACATTTTTTTGGATTTAAATTATTTTAATTGAATATTTTCTGAAAAAGTATTATTTTTAAATAAATGTTTGAAATTACTATAGCTGATCATATCTATGTCAAAATCCTAAAAATGTTCATGCATACTTTACATAGAACATTTAATCATTTTTATATGATATAAATTAAATATATACTATATTACTATTAATATATATTAAATTGAATAAAATTAAAATAATAATAGGTATATACTATTTTATTGACTCATTTTTGCCCTAAATAAATTCTTACATAACTAAATATAAAAAAATGTATCTAATCACATTGTGTAAAAAAATGTTGGAACACAAGAACAGAATACATACAAATAATTACTTAATATAAAAGTATGTACCAAGAAGTTACTTTATGATAAACTCATAGGTATAGCTTATAACAATTATACATTTCTTGAGTAAATCTATTTTTAATAGAAAATGTTTGCTATAATATTTATTATTTTACCTTGTTAAATTGTAACATTTACCATAATTAGAAAACTATGATTGTGTATCTATATGAATTGTAGACTTTACATATAATACAGCAAATCAAATAAATATTTAGACATTGTCTAGAAAAAATAATTTGCCTTTCAAAGTCCCATCATCTTATAGACTTAAGAATATTATTAATATATATTTTTACTATACACTAAGTATAATCAACGTCATTAGCAAAATTTTCGAATAAGTAATTAAACCATACTAAAAAATTTGTAAAATGATGGTAAAAAAAATATTTCTGAAATTATGATAGTTTTAATACATTATATAACTAATATATTTTGTTAATTATATTTCATATTTTAAGTTAATCATTTAATTTTTAATTTAAATTTATTGAACTAATAGACTGTACATTTAAAAGTTATTATTATAAAAAAGGTTAACATTACAATATTTTATAAAAAATTTCTCAATTGTGAAACATTTAAAATAATAAAAATTGTTATTATTTTAATATAGTTATTAATTGTAATATAGTATATAAAACTAAACGTTTATTGCATATGTGTGTGTGTGTGTGTGTGTGTGTATTACCAAAAAATACACTTGTATAATATTTATTTGATCTTGACATAATGTACTGACCTAACACTGTGAAAAATGTATTGATAAGAACAAATTTTATAATGGTTTTTGATTAATTACTAATTTTTTTAGAATATGAATTAATTTTATGTTGTGGGGTATAACAAAGAAATAATATGTCTAAAAGAAATAGTGACGAAAGTGGTTCTGAAGAACCACCTCTAAAAAAAGTACAATTTGAACCAGTTAGACTTGGACCAATATCTACTATGGAGGATTTAGATATGAAAGTTCTACAATATCAAAATAAAAAATTGGCACAAGTATTATTTTTTCTCTCTAAGTTGATATTTATTTAGTAGATAACCACATAATGTTTAATTAGAGGTTAGAACAAAGAAATAGATTAGAAATGGAATTAAGAAGTAGGATTGAACAACTCGAAAAACGTCAAACTCAAGATGACTCTGTGTTAAATGTTGTAAATAGGTATTGGAATCAATTAAATGAAGACATTCGTGTTTTGTTGCAAAGGTTTGATGCTGAAACAGCAGATGAAATAGAAAGCAGAAGTATGTTTTTAATATAACTTAATTTTTATTTGATTTTAAATAATATTGATATTTTTTGAATTACAGATGAAAGTGAAGCTACCACATCATTTTTAGTTCAATTGTCAACCTGGGATAAAGAAGAATTAGATGAAAAACTTGCCCATCGTGTACAAGTCTCAACTCGTGCTGTTGCTAAAGTTATTCAAGCTTTTGATAGATTAATGCAAAGGAATGAGAAAATAACTCTAGCCTTAAAAGGAGAATTTGATGGAGGTATAATCTAAAATTTGTGTGTATATCTTAATTTAAATATTTAAGTAAAAAATATAGTAAAAATTAAAATTATAGATGAGGCACCTAATATGGATGAAGTAGTAAGAAATGCGAACAGTGAACTTCAAGCTGAAAATCAAAACTTACAATCTTTAAATACATCATTGCATAAAAGGCATCATACAATGTCTTTGAAAGTAAAAATAATATGTATTTCTTATCTAAGATAATTTATTTTGATGAAATTAAAATTCATACAATAAAAACTAATTTTTAAATTAGTAAACATAAAATAATAAAGTTCAAAATTGTAATTATTATTAAAAATGAGTGTTATATGACAAGTAAAATAAAAAAAAGTGATTGCTTTAAAATAACCTTTCATTACCTTTTTTCTGGTCTTCAACTTTTAAGTAAAATATTACTCATTTTTTTAGTCGCTATTAGTTTAAATTTTGAGTTTGGAAATCATTCATTTGATTTCTGAAGGTCAATTGAATTAAAAATTCATCTGCGTAATTTCTAAATTATAGTTTATAAATTTAAAAAAAAAACATAAATAAGAAAATTGATTTATTTAGGAATTATATAAATTGTTGATCTTTAGTTGGCTGGATTACAAGATACTGTTAACTGTAAAGAAACTGAAGTTGCTGAGATGAGAAATCAAATAGAAGAACTTCAATATGAATATCAAAAAATTCAAGATAGAAATTATAAACTAGAAACGCATTTAGCTGAAGCAAGAGATAAACTTAAAAATTTGGAAGTTATGCAAATTGATGACAAAATTCCCCAAAAACAAGACTCATCAATTACTCAGTCAAATTTATCATTGCAAAAGGTAAAATAATTTTATCATTAAACAATAAATATTTGTAATGTTTGTGATAACACCTCATATTTACTTAAAAAGAAATGTTAAAAAAATTACTAAAAATATATAATTTTTTAAAATGAAACCTTTTTAAAAAAATTATACATTTTGTTAAAATTTTTTCATTTTATTGATTGATCATTTAATGTTTTCTCTAATTTAATCTCTTTATTCTTACATCTTTTTATTTTTTTTAATTAATATGAGATATTTTTTAATATAATTAATTAGTAATATATTTAATATAAAGTGAAATTTGCATCATGTAGCAGTGAAAAATAGGCATAGACTTCTAACGATTTTATCTAATAAAATTGACATTTATTTAACATATGCCATAATAAACTAAAAAATGATAATTTTTTTTAATTGTATTGCTTTTTAAATAGGTCTATATCTGTTTTAATTAGTATTATCTAATGAAATAAAATTACAAATACTTGAAATTAATCAGGCATTTTCTAGAAGACCTTAAGAAGAAAACCAATATTTGGAATATAATAATATTTAAGTTAAAATATAGTATATCTAATAAATGCAGTTATTATACAGCATAATAAGTAATAACTATTTTATTCTTACTGAATAAAGTCAGTTTGAGTAAAATCTTAAATAAGAGAATTTATTGTTGATTTTTAGAATCTTTATCTCAAGTAAAGGGATCTTTGTGTTATTTATATGAATTGTATAAGTAAATATTTATTGTAATCTTTTATGACAGGTTGAAGAATTACAAAAAGAAAACGAAGAGTTAAGAGAGCTTAATAATAATCGACTTCAAGAATTAGATAAATTACATCAACAACATAGGGAGACTTTAATGGAAGTTGAAAAGTTAAAAATGGATGTATGTATTTTATGTTATACTTTGAGTTTAATTAATATTTTTAAGATTCTAAAAACAATCGATAATTAATTAACATATGTATAGCTGAGACAACTTCCCGAGAATGTAATAATTGAAACAACAGAATATAAATGTTTGCAATCACATTTCTCTGTATTATATAATGAATTTATGTTAATGCGAAATCAACTACTTGAATCTACAGGATTATTGCAAAACAGTAAAAATACACATTTACGTCAAATGGAAGTAATGGAGGTATGTTTTGAAATTATTTAATTGTTTTTTGTATTAGTTTAAAACAAATTAATATCAAAAAATTATACTATGCTTAATTTTGTTGTTTTTATGTTATATTCATTGTTCATATTATTCATATTGAATAAATTTTGAAACTACTCATAGAAACACAAAAAACTAATTACTACAAGTAATTTTAATCTTCAAACTCTAAAGTAAACATTTCTATTTATATAATACTAGCAGCTTATTTAAATAACAAAAATATAATAATGTACAATTCTAAAAAAAGTTTTCTTTATCAAAAAATATAAAAAATTTAGATATAGAGCCACTTAATTTTTTCAATTAATCAATTTAATTTATTAATTGTTTAATAAAAATAAATTGATTATATCAATTAATTTAATAACTGATTATATCGATCTTATTGTTTATGGATATTCTGTTTTTAACATGATATATTTTACTTAATTTAGATGAATAAAAAATTTAATTAAAAAAGTCTCGAGTTTCAATTATAATTTACAATTTTTATTAAATTATAGTATGTTTATTAATCAAATAGATTTTAGTTCATAAATTAGTTACTATAATTATAAAATAATTGATAGATTAATTAATCAATTATTTTATTTAATGGACCATGAAAATCCTTTTTCTAAAAATAAAAAATAATTTATTAATTTTACAGGATAACAGATATTTTCTTATTTACTATGTTTATATGATTTCTATAAAATATTATACTGAAAATTCCGAATCTTGTTTCAAATTTTTTCATTCACTTCTAGTTTTTGAGATAATTAGTAATTAAGCGATAATTACATTATAAAATCATTGCTTATAAATATAATCTTTTTAACATTTCTAAAATCATTTCTTGAGAGCAAAACTTTGGACTTAAATTATTTAAACCGTTTTTTTTTTTTTTTTTTTTTTTTTTTTTAAGTTGAGTTAGAATGTTATTTGTAATAAAAATAATTGAACTTCAGTATAAAGCCAAAGTTTTTTTTTTTTTTTCAACTTACAGTTATAAAACTTTAACTGGCAAATAGAAAATTCTATAAAGATAAAAAATATTAACTTTAACTTAACTTAAATATAAATTGAAAAAATTGCTGTTAATAAAAAACATACAAGAAAATCTTGAAAATACTGTTTTTTTATATACTCTTCCAATATTGATTTAATTTTAATTAATGATATAATACAATATTATATATATAATCAATAACGGAGCATAGTTTTCTTATGCAATCTATAATCAAGTCGAAAAAAAATTATTCAAAACTAAAAATAACTGTTTATTGTATTGTGTTAGATTCAATTTTTTTTATTCTTGTGGTTATTACAAGATTACTAATTTAATCATAAAAACATGACTTTGATTCTTATAAGTCTTATAATATTTTTTAGAGTGATGAGTTATCTGCCCAAAAGAAGTTACGTTCAGAATTAATGAACTCTGAGGATGTTAATGCTCAATTACGCAAAGAATATGAAATGTTGCGTATAGAATTTGAACAAAATTTAGCCGCAAATGAACAAACTGGTCCAATAAACCGAGAAATGAGACATTTATTATCTTCTTTGCAAAATCACAATAATCAACTTAAAGGAGAATTGCATAGGTATAAACGAAAATACAAAGATGCCAACGCAGAAGTTCCAAAAGTAAGACTTATCTAAATTTAGTTAAGAAAGATAATATATTTTCTAGGTGAGCAGTTGCTCAACCTTTTTTTTTTAACAACATTGTGATTAAATAAAGTAAATTTATTGCTACATAAGAGCATTTTTTCTATTATCTTATCATTTATATTATTATTATTTTATTTACACTGAGAAGGAAGGTGTGGCCGTGCCTGATATGCACTATCTCAGGTTTGAGACACAGTTATGGGTGGTTTTGTTTGCTAGATCAGTTAAATTATTGGAGTCGCTATCTTTCTCTCCAGCGACAGATTATATACCCGTCCTGAAGTATCCATTGTTAAGAAACCTTCTCTTTAAGTAGAGCGCTATAACTATGACATTTAATGGACTACAAAAGCATTAAAAATATATATAATAGGTTAATATATTATATAATAGAAATAGGATATACTGATATAAAAATTTTACTTTTCTGTTATCTAGAGTTACTGATGTCTAACAAATAAAAGATAGTTGTATTTTAAATAGTTATTATTTGTTTAATCCACATATGTATATATATATATATATTATTATTATTATTATTTTGACTATTGCCATTTGTCATTGATTTGACGATTATGTTAATGTAATTTTTATTTACATAACAATGTATTGTTTTAAGTAATTATAATTAATATTTTAACATTTTATTTTAGTTAAAAAAAGAACTGGAAGATTTAAAATTAAAGTTTGGTCAGCAAATTTCAAGTATTGTTCAAGATACAAAAGAGGGATTAATTGAGTCATGCAAAGAAGAAGAAGTTAATTTAAATGAAAGTCTAAAAGAAGAATTTCAAATGTCACAAATTATTCTAAAAAAAGAAGAAGATCTCGAAGTACATGCTTAATACTAAGACAAATATATTTTATGTTTTCAATTATTATTATTTTATTTTTTAGGGATTACAATCTTTAGAAGAAAGTTCTCAAAATGATGAAAAAGTTGATGTGAAAAATGTAAAAAAAGAACAATTAAAAGAAGGTCAACAAACACCTAATAAAAATACTCCTGGAACTGGCCCTACAACTACTCCAGATCAGAAACCAGTTAATCAAAAAGATATTATTAGAAATTGGGAAAGTGAAGCCCTTAGAGATTTAAAAACACAACTAAAGTATATTTTGTTTTTAAGTTCCATTTTCTTATTATAATGAATAATTATTAATATTGTGTTATTTTTAGGAAAGCTGTTAATGATCAAAAAGAAATGAAATTATTATTAGATATGTATAAAGGAGTAAGTAAAGATCAAAGAGATAAAGTACAATTGATGGCTACTGAAAAAAAGTTGAGAGCTGAGTTAGAAGAAGCAAAACAAGCTCTCAAAAAAATTCAAGTAATTAAATTTTAATTTCTTCTTCTGTTTTAATTACACATGTTTTGTGTAATTAAAACAGATAAAATTTTTTGCTTTTCAAAAAAGTATATTTTATATAAAAAGAATACAAGACTTATTAATCACATTTTTATGATAATATACAAACATTTCTGTTTTAAATATAATTGATAAGATAACATTTATAAAAAGTTGTTATTTTAACAACTACTTTTACAAAAAATAAATCCCACATATATAGATGTATATTAGGGTGTCCCTTATTTATAAAATTTAAAAATTACAAAGTGCCACCCCCTAAAATTATTCGAATACATGAAAAAATAAATTGTACAAAATTTGGAGACTATTGGTCAACTCTAAGACGTGCCCCAAGGGGGTTAAAAATAACCCCCCAAGGGTGATTTTTTAGTTTTTTTTGTCTATCTCAAAAACTTTAGCTTTTGCGAAAAAGTTTATTTGAACTTTTTTTTAGGTATACAATTTTTCTATAAAAAGTATATTTACAAAAATTTTCGAAAAGTTCTTATTTAGCCCTAAAAAAATAAAAACGTATATATTCTATTCTTACCGTTGAAATTGTTAATTTATAAATCGTTCATTATAAAAACATAAAAAAAAATCATTTAACCGTTGTTTTAAATTTAATTTTCTATACATTTTTAATTCGACATATTTTCTATTATTTACTATTCAAAACCTACAATTTTTTTAATTTTAATTAAAAAAAAACACATCAGAGTAAAATTAATACTTTTTTATAATTAATTTTTTAAAATAATAATTTTTTTTGTTTCAGGGCCAATTTGAATTGTCAATCAATGAGTTAAATATTCGTTCATTATGTATTTTTATTACAAGTTTATAAAGTTTCTGGTTGTATACAAATTTGTAAGTTAACATTATTTTAGCTTCAATGTGAAACTGAGACGGTATTAATTTTACTCTGATTTGTTTTTTTTTTAATTAAAATTAAAAAAATTGTAGGTTTTGAATAGTAAATAATAGAAAAAATGTCGAATTAAAAATGTATAGAAAATTAAATTTAAAACAACGGTTAAATGATTTTTTTTTATGTTTTTATAATGAACGATTTATAAATTAACAATTTCAACGGTAAGAATAGAATATATACGTTTTTATTTTTTTAGGGCTAAATAAGAACTTTTCGAAAATTTTTGTAAATATACTTTTTATAGAAAAATTGTATACCTAAAAAAAAGTTCAAATAAACTTTTTCGCAAAAGCTAAAGTTTTTGAGATAGACAAAAAAAACTAAAAAATCACCCTTGGGGGGTTATTTTTAACCCCCTTGGGGCACGTCTTAGAGTTGACCAATAGTCTCCAAATTTTGTACAATTTATTTTTTCATGTATTCGAATANACAATTTTTTTAATTTTAATTAAAAAAAAAACAAATCAGAGTAAAATTAATACCGTCTCAGTTTCACATTGAAGCTAAAATAATGTTAACTTACAAATTTGTATACAACCAGAAACTTTATAAACTTGTAATAAAAATACATAATGAACGAATATTTAACTCATTGATTGACAATTCAAATTGGCCCTGAAACAAAAAAAATTATTATTTTAAAAAATTAATTATAAAAAAGTATTAATTTTACTCTGATGTGTTTTTTTTTAATTAAAATTAAAAAAATTGTAGGTTTTGAATAGTAAATAATAGAAAATATGTCGAATTAAAAATGTATAGAAAATTAAATTTAAAACAACGGTTAAATGATTTTTTTTTATGTTTTTATAATGAACGATTTATAAATTAACAATTTCAACGGTAAGAATAGAATATATACGTTTTTATTTTTTTAGGGCTAAATAAGAACTTTTCGAAAATTTTTGTAAATATACTTTTTATAGAAAAATTGTATACCTAAAAAAAAGTTCAAATAAACTTTTTCGCAAAAGCTAAAGTTTTTGAGATAGACAAAAAAAACTAAAAAATCACCCTTGGGGGGTTATTTTTAACCCCCTTGGGGCACGTCTTAGAGTTGACCAATAGTCTCCAAATTTTGTACAATTTATTTTTTCATGTATTCGAATAATTTTAGGGGGTGGCACTTACAAATATTAAAAAAAAAAAAACCTCTCATGTAGCTAAGGGTCACCCTAATGTATATGTTTAATGTCCTTTTTTTATGCTATTAGTTAGAGTATCTAACGTTATTTTTAAATATTAAAAATATTATTAAATAATATTTTTTAAGGTCTTTTTATGTGTCTTGTTATTTTTTATGAAAACATGATAAATTTTGCTACTAAAACTGCATTCCAGTAATGACCAAGTTTCATTATGGATATTTTCCTCGAGAATTTTGTATTTCTTAATACCGTATTTTTACTTATTGCAAAATGAATTAATCTTATTCTGTTGTTATCGCTTTGGTCAAGTAAACTATCTTTTTCATTTGTCTTACAAGCAGTCTCATTTCCCACTTAAGCCATTCAAATCTTCCAATATTAATTTAATTCAATGGTTTGTCATCACGTAATATTTGGTGAATATTATTGGTGCACTAATTACAATCATTTTCTGGTATTCATATTGATCTGGATGTAACATATTTGATAATTTATGGTCTTAAGTTGTTTAATCCATGGTATTATACTACTGTGTACGAGAAAACTCATTCCATTTTCACTCTTATTAGTTGTTACATTGTAATACAATAACATCATGTTACCTATCGGAATACAATCTTTACCTTGCCATCTTATTTCTTATTTATTGTATCAGCTAGTGTATCAACTGCTTCTGCTTTATATAAAGTTCTTACATTCCATTTACCAATCCTAAATCCTTGTAGTCTAAGTTGTTTCCATTGTATTTTATCCAAATCTCTGCCCCGAGACTTTAGCTTAGGTTTATTAACTATCATATTTTTACAGTGACGAGTTGTGAGCCCTTTGTCAAACCCATTGTGCTAATTAATTAGCATTCCCTGAGGAAAGGATGTCTAACTTGATTCAAATAAATTAAAATGATTCTAAATAATTTAATAGTATTTTGTATTTTTTTAAATTATACAGGAAGGTAAACGAGAAGAACGTAAAAAGCTAGCAGATGAAGATGCTTTACGTAAGATTAAACAACTTGAGGATAATATTGTTCAACTTCAAAAACAAGTTGCAACTCATAAACAAGTACAACTAGAATGGTCATATATGTTCGAATAATTATTATTTAATAATTTAATGTTTTAAAGGAAGAAGAAGCTATGCTTAATGAAATGGAAGTAACTGGACAAGCATTTGAAGATATGCAAGAACAAAACTCACGATTAATTCAACAATTACGGGAAAAAGATGATGCAAATTTTAAGTTAATGACTGAACGAATTAAGTCTAATCAGTTGCACAAATTAGCTCGTGAAGAAACTGACACACTTAAAGAATTGGTTAGTTAAAAAAAATATCTTATTAAATTATCCTAAATTTTTATTTTACTAAAGATAATATTATTCAAAACTAAAATTATTACTCAGTTTTGATTGGAAATAAAAACTAAAATTATGTTATAATTAATGATATATATGTAACGTAATATAATATATAATTAATTTCAATCCTCAGATAGTTATTAATTATTAAATAGAAAAATATTGTGTTTGTACTTATTCTTTTAAAAAAAAAAATCCAGTTTTGCATATTTTTATGGACAAAAATCATTTATTTATAAGTTAAATATATATTAAACTTATTTATGTATTTATTTAAAATTATAAAATGTGTTTTCAAACTTACATTATTATTAATGGTTAAACTAAATAAAGTTAATAATGAAACAATAACTAATATTCAGATAAAAACACTCTCAAATCAAGTTGAAATGACGAATACAGTTGTTCGTAAACTAGAAGAAAAAGAACGAATACTTCAAAATTCTTTAGCTACAGTAGAAAAAGAATGTTCCATTCGACAACAAGCAATGGAAATGCATAAGCGTAAAGCTATTGAAAGTGCTCAATCTGCTGCTGATTTAAAACTTCATTTAGGTAAATTTTTAAATATAATTACTACTTTAAAAAGTATAAGTATAATTAAACAGTAACTACAATTATTTCAATCAGATAAATATCATGCACAAATGAAAGAAGCACAACAAGTTGTAACAGAAAAAACAAGTGCACTTGAAGCAGAGGCATACAAAACTAAAAGGCTTCAGGTAAATTTGTTTTATTTAAATTTAATTATTATATTAATACGTCAAGAGATTATAACTGAGTCATTAAACCAAATGTACTTAGTTTAATTAAGTCATATTAGACAGTACTTTTTTTAATGTTATTCAATCAAAATTAGGACTTCATTCCTTTTCTGTAATAAATTATTTTAAAATATCAATTTACAAATTTCCCCTGAATAAATAATTAATACTTAATTTACTGTATAAGCTTTAAAACAATAGAGAGTTCTTTTATAATTTAATAGGAAGAAATTGTTCAACTAAGAAGAAAAACTGAGCGTATGAAGAAAATTGAACAAGCTGGTACGCTTGATGAAGTTATGATGGAAGAAATTAGAGAATATAAAGAAACACTTACTTGTCCTTCATGCAAAGTAAAGCGAAAAGATGCGGTACTCACTAAATGTTTTCATGTATTTTGCTGGGATTGTTTACGAACTCGTTATGAAACTAGGCAAAGAAAATGTCCAAAATGTAATGCAACATTTGGAGCCAATGATTATCACAGACTTTATCTTGGTTCCTAGGCCTTTTATAATTTATTACTAAATAATTAAAAGTAAAATTTTTCTCTGTTACCTCTTTAAACATTTTTTGATGCCATTTTCTATTCAATAGTATTATTAAAACTTCAATTATATCAACTATGAAGTTTAATTTATTTTGAATTAAATATTATAATTTTTTACCCATCTCAATTTGAGTAACTTGCATTATTTCAAAATAATTTTATGTAATATATAATAATCTATATAATATAATTTGTATTCTATAACATTATTTAATAATAAATTTTTATTACTATAAAATATTGATTTTTTTTATAATTGTATACAATTATTAATGTAAATATCTGAAATACCTTGTATTTGTAATCAAATAGATTGGAAGTGTAAAATACTTTGTTATATTGTGTGTAATACAAATTTATATAAAATGTATTATTTTAATGAAATTTTTTTTAATATAATTTAACTAAATAAATAAATAGTATTGTTAGTTATTTATTAATATGAACTTGATTGGATATTAGAAATATAAAATAATTCAAATTTAAATTCAGACACCCAAATTTATTTATTTATTTAGAAAACATAATGCCCCACAGTCGGCAAAAGGGTACAGATGAACTATAATATATATTGGGATTAGTCAATGATATATTTTTGGATATCAATAATGTACTCAGTTTCAATGATATTATATCGCAATATTGAAAAAAACAATTGTTCCCGATATCACACAATATATCGATATCGAAAAATAAATGTAATGAAATATTTAAATGTTTTCACATCTTTTTTTATTTTCAAGAATAATTTACAAGAAAAAGTTACCGTATTGTTGTAAAAATCAGATTATGCTATATCAACTAAATTAGTAATTAATATCAATAAATTTAAAAAATATATAGAAAACATCTATATCTCATAACGATAATATTTTCAAATTACTTTTTATTATGAAGTAATAAGTTTTTTTTTTTTACAAGACTCACTATATATTGGTTATAATGAATGAATGAAATTGTTCTTTATTGAAAAATAATATTATAGTTTCAGTATTTTGATTTTAAATAATAATAATAATAATAAAAGGTATATATATAAGTGCTGTTAATATTTTTTTATTGCTTTGTCATAACTGAAAACAATTTTTTTTCTTTTCAAAAATAAAATTTAAACTTTTACTGAATAAAACATCACAATCATCAAATAGATTTTTTTGGGAGGGCTCGATAATTTTATTCTATATTTCAGTTTGAATTTCGACCAGTTGTTGCTGTATATATTCTAATTCTAAAATTATTTCTCTAACTCTCCTTATTCATTATTTTATTCATTATCTTCTTCCTCGCTTTAATCCCGACTACTTGGGGTCGGCCACTCTTATCCTAAACTTCCACTTAACACGATCTCCCACATCAGCTGTCCTTATATAGCATTCAATAGCATCCCTCCATCTCTATTTTGGTCTGTTCATGTTATGTTAAAAATAGAAATAAAAACAATGTCATAAAAAAAAATCTAATCTAGGAATAGATTTTGTATCAATAAATATTTTTCGTCTTATCTCAATTCTATATCTCATAGTATAATTTAATACAAAAAATATTAACAAGATTATCACAAAATTGTTTTGGCCTAATATCAAATATTATAAAGTGTTCAGTAAGGAAACAGGTCAATTGTTATAAACAATGAGAAAAATAGAAACACATTTCATAATTTACTGAAAATTCTATATATTTTATAACAAAATGACCAAAATTCAAACAGTTTTTTCAAATATTGCGATATTTCAAAAATAATCAATATCGTTGCCTAACTTTAATATATGTATTACACAACCCGTTTTATAGAGTAATAAGTATACTGTGTTTTACTAAACCCTGCTCCATTATGTTTTATAAATGTTACTACAGTTAACTCATGTTTATTTTGTTTTATAGCTGAAACTATGCTATAGTTATTTTTCCGTTAAATTGTATATTATTTTTTAATTAATTATGGATTTCAAAATTGATTGACCAAAAATCAATAATTGAAATAAAAACTATACAATTTAAATTATTTATATCGTTAAATAGTCAAAGTAAACAATTAAAGTAGTTAAATTCTAGATTAGATAATATGAAGACGAAAATGGATTTTCCTAGCAAAATAACAAGATTGTTTCATTATCTAATCAACTTTAATCCCTTGTTCGTGACTATTTCAAAAGGTTAACGTTTTAGAAAATAATGTAACTAACTTTTCACTTGTATTTATACTTAATAAATTTCTATTTGTTGTTTAAATATATGTATTAGTACTTTAACTTTTTCTGAAGTCAATTTTAACTTCATTTAAATTTACTGGTACAACGACTTCATAGTGCACCTAACATCTATTGCATTTGTTTAAAACTTAACATAAACTAAGCTGTTATTGTATTTTATAATATTCTTTATGATTGTATTCACGAATTTATTTTTATTAGTACTGTATATAAATAATTTTAAAAATGCATAAAAACTCAGAAACTTAACTACGAATTTAAACTTAATTAATTCTTTATTTTATTCAGATACTTGCTCACTCAAATTAGCAAGTTTTTAATTATTTTGTATACGAATTGAAATTCTTGTAACTCAATAAGAACTTATCCTAATGCTGTAATCAACTTATTAATATTTTTTACAATAAAAAGTAAAATTAGCTGTGTTGAAATAAAATAAAATAAAAAAACTTAATTTTTGAATTTTTTTATTAGAGACAAATAAAAAAACACGTTTTCAAAATGTCTAAAGCTTTAAAAATTTTTTAAAAAGTAATAAAAAATATTTGCTAGTTTAAAATATGTCATAACTTGGTTGTAAACAGAGTATAATACTGAATATTTGTAATTTTAGCTTCGATGCGAAGCTGAGAAGGTATTGGTTTTACTATGATGTGTTTTTTTTTTGTCTGTTACCACTTTTTCTCAGTTCTCACCGAACGGATTTCTTTCAACGATACGTCAAAAGATCACAAATCGTATCTAGTCGAAGACGTTACCCTTAAAAATTGAAAAAATTTCCCTCGTTCCCCGTAAATGGGGGAAACCTCCAAAAAAATTACAAATTTAAAAATCGCTGATATTCGAAATTTTTTCAATTTTTTTTACTAAAAACTGCCGTAACTTTTTCAAAAATAAACATATCAATATAATTTTTTTTATATAGATGCATGTTATCATTACCTCTCATTTGGTATATTTTTTTTGTAAATCTGACCCTTTATCTGCCCACAGGGGGGGATTTAAAATGACAACTTTATAACGAAAAATTTACTTTTTCAACTTAACTTTTAAAAATGTTCCGGAAGGTCTGACACTTTTATATATATCTTAAATTAAAGCTAATGTAATGTAATGTACTTTGTTATTGAAAAAAAAAATTTCGGACTTTATTTTGTCTTCACGGTGAAAATGGATACCGAATGCTATTTTCGTGTGAAAATTCTCGATTTTATTTTTTACATTTTTAACTTTATAATGCTATAACTTATTGAAAAGTGTATGGATCAACACAATTTTTTTATGAGAAATAATATTTTTTAATAATCCCTTTTTCATTCGACATACATTATCTTAATCAAGATATTAATAACAAACTAGCAGATCATGTTGCTTTTGGAATAATACACCAATTTTTTAAAATTAAGCACTATCTAAAGATTTGCATCGAAGCGTTTTTTCTTTATAGTGATTTTAATCACTGTCAGATATCATTATACTTTATCAAAATATGCAACTATGCCGCGACCCCCCTGTGCTAGGTTTTGTTTACATAAAACCACACTGATCAATACAAATTTTAAGTGTGTTTTAATACTGGATTCAATCAAGTTCCACATATACTAAAGGGCAAAATATTTTATTTTAAAAAGTTTGATTTTGTGATAATGACGATGAAATAACAAATTTTATAATATTTCTTTATTTCCAGTTGTTTTATTAATTGAAAATATTTTTTATAGTTTTAAATAATTTCAAAATAAATATCTATAAGATATTTAAGAACCTTTATATATATAATTACTTAAAAAGCAAAAATACAATTTTTTCACAAAAAAATAGTAGTTTTAATTTTTTGAAGACTAATAGAAACAGAAAATGAATACTAAAATACTAATTCCAAAGAAAATCAATTCTTTGTAGACCTGTATTACTAGTTAGTTATTAAATGAAAATACTGTTCCTTAATGTAAAACATTTTATTTTAATTCACATATTTTAGCTTAGGTGAAAATTGAGGTAAAAAAAAATCACAAATTAAAAAATGATTTATATATTGTCCACATATTTTTAATTTATCCGTTAAAATATAAAAAAAAAAGGTATATTAAATTATTAGTTTCTATACCGCATAGGTCCCGTTCTTCTCATAAAACGATTTTCAGGAGGAGTAATGCAAACATCTAAAAAATCACCAATTGTGAATCTGAAAATTTAATATTTTAAATATGATATTAATAATGTATAACTTTTTAACATTAAAAATAATCATTAAGTCGTAAAAATTTCTATGGGAATCATAAAAATTATATAAATATTGAACTTTTACTAAACCTTGTGTTTGCTAAAGTTTTAGAATCACCAGGTGATTTAACTCCAGCTATTGTAGAACCTATTTCATATCCAACAAATCTAGGAGAGTTGTATTCAGGTGTAACAAGAACAAAATCAAACATTGTTCCTCGAGCACGTGATTCAACATTTACTTCTTTAATAAGACCAGTTAATTCTCTTAAAGTAGCATCCATCCTATATGATCATTCAATTATTTTTTATAATAAATGATAAAATTAATAATATATATATATATATATCTATTAAATAATACCATGTATATATTTGAAGTTCATTCCCAGGTACAGAGCCTCTATAGTATTCTGATAGATTATTGTGATGGCCCATAGCACAAAATACTCTCAATAATAATGGACAAGTCTGAAATAAAAAAATGTAACAAAATATGAACTTAATTATATGATTTATTAATTTTAGTAATAATATAACTTAATATTGTCATAACTACCTTTTCTCTATTAACTGGTTTTTCTTCGACTTTTACTAGTGATTCAACAGCAGCCATTTCAATCGTAAATTTTATTAATAAATACGTAAAGAAATATTAATTAAATCTTATACCAATTGGTACAAATACAATGTGAACCAAGAAAATTAATCAAATAATACAGATTTTATTTAAATTAATTGAACACTCAGTAATCAAAATTAAATATATCACGTAAAAAAAGCACACCATAAATAATTTTTAAATGTATAAATCGTTTTAATAACAATAAAAACAAAATTTAGAATTCAGTCAATGAAATAACGCGAATTAAACACAAGTATGAAGTTAGCAATACCTATCTAAAAATTTCTAATCAAATGTTTGCAGCCGTAATCGCTTAGTTACCGTATGAACATAATCTCTTTCTACCAGTAGATGTCACTACTTATTCTACTTTTTCTAACTAATAAATCTAATATTGTGGTGAATATTCTTTTAAAATAAAATTATATAGTTAACCTCAAAAATATTTCAACAACCATATTAAAGTCTACATCGAAGCATGAAGTAAAGCTATAATATTAACATGGGCTATATGAATTGACATTTTTTAAAATAGCAAAAATTATCAATAATTTAAAAATAACTTTAATCATTCTGATTCATAACAAAGTATAGTAGTTAGAAGTAAAGTAATAAAATATATTTGCTAAAAGTATAGCAGAAGAGTAAAAAGAGAGAAGATTGGATAGAGTATAAACGCTTGTGTAAACAAGCCAAGTGTACAGTAAGTAAGGTGAAGTTTAAGAGGTATGAGTTATATGATAGGCTCGGAATAAAGAAGTGAAAAAGAAGTCTATAGACTTTCAAAAGTAGTAGAAAACGGTCTAAAAATCACAATGCAAGGTGTATAAAAAATGATGTTAAGAGGGTGCTAACAAGCGATGATAATGTGAAAAAAGTGGAAAGAGTAATTTAAAAAAATTACTGAATGCATAGTTTCTAATATGAATATTAGGCGGTGTTAGAATAAGGTAATTAAAGGGTCTTTTTAATAAAATCCTATTAGAAGGGAAAATGCCAAAAGAATGGAAGAATATTATTGTGGTACTGATGTTTAAGGGCAAATGAGATATATAGGAGTGTGGAAATTATAGAGACATAAAGTTTATGAGATTTAGGTAATGTTAATTGACAAAAGAATAAGAGAAGAAACATGAGTAACAAAGAACCAGTTTGGTTTTTTGCCAGTAAAGACAACGATAAAGCCAGTTTTTTGTATGAGAAAAGAACTAATAGAAAAGTATAGGGAAAAGAAGAAAAAGCTGTGTATGATAAGATAGAATTGGAGAAAGCTTATGATAGAGTATCGAGAGATTTTAAGTAGGCATTAACGAAAAAAAGTGTTAGGTTTGGTTCATTAATATAATAGAGGATTTGTATGATCAGTTGTGCAAAATAACAGTGGTATCGAACAGGATGTGAGACACGAGTTTAAATTAGGTGGATGAAGAGGAGAGTATTTTAAAAAAATGGCGAGTAAAAAGAAGATATTAGCTGAAAATAAAATTGTGTGTGTAGAATTTTCTAATATAACAAGTCCGTTTCTATCCAACCAGATTTTTACTTATATATACGGTAAACATTCAACAAAATATTTCGGTCATCCGTTATTTCTCGTTTAATAAGCTTCTCATTAATTTTTCTTTAATGTAAATACAAACTGTACATCGTACTCGCTAACTTGTCAATCAAATAATAAAATAGAAAAAAATTTTTTTTTAAGGATTGAGTGACAATCTATAAATGGGGCCCTAGCTATTTGCTTTGTAATATCTTACTTTTTCGACTGAGCCGAACTTTCCAGACACCACCGTTTGATGTGTGAAACTCGGAGAATTGGTAGCTTCTTCCTCAAATGAGATGTCCATACTTTTGGAATGCGGATGTAGTGTATTCGAAAGGCTTAGCGAGACAGCCGCTCAGATGAAGGCATATGTAACAAACGTTTGGCGAAAAAATGTGACATGGTTAGTGATATTAACCAGAGAAGGGTAATCCGCCACCAAGTTTCTTCATCGCGCCAGAATCTTTCCTTACGGAGTTTCTCGTGTAAGCCAGAGCTTAATCTTTTTTTAAACGTATGTTTGTTTTCTACAAATAAATGGTATGTTTTTTGAACACATTGGTGTATTGTATATATCGTCTATTATGCACTGTGCTTAGCATCTAAGAACTTAATATTTTTTTGCTTGAAACCATTGTTACAGTACCTATTATAACTTATGATTTTTTTATCAATAAGTGACTAGTGCATACTAATAGCTTAACTCGAGTAAAGGTATGGTTGCGTCAGTATGAGATTTATTCTCAAAGAAATAATAGTAATATTCTCATTTTCATGATTTACTTAAAATTCATATATAGAATGTGACACTACGAATAAAATTGTATGATAAAATGTACAGAGATTATATAATCTCAAATTAATCAAGTCGTATGAAAAAATTTATAATAATTATACATAAAAATTATTCAGTAATCAATGGATACTATCTTAGTAAATAGTCTTGTAATGAATGTATTTGATAGATAATGTAGTAAGATATTAATTATGGCGAAATCTATGGCAATATTACGTGTCTAACATATTTTTCAAAATTCACATTTTGATACAAATGAATATAAAATAAATAATGACATAGATTTTTTCTTTTAAATTATCTCCCAGGAAAAATTATTTTGTTTGATTAGACTCAACATGTCTCTCTTGTGGTAAAAAATCTGTTTTTTTTTTTGTATCTGCTAAATAAATTAAAAATTATTAGATATTTGAAAAGCATTGTAATAATTGTGGCAATTTTACATTATAATTTGGTATTATAGAATAAGTAGTGACATCTAACGGTTTGGGGTATAATCGAACAGTAACTATGTTACCACAGTTTATTAATGATAAATTGGTGCTAACTTCATATTACAACTAGTTGGTAGAAGTGTAAAGACATTAATTACATAATAAAGTATATTAAATCCAATGATAATAATCGACACTAGACTTCCATGCATTTTTTTAGTTTGTTCAAAAATTAGAACATGCTAGTGTCGTTAACCATCAATATTAGGAAATAATTTTGGGATTTTTGATCAGATAAATGTTTTAATGATAATAAATAATTAAATTAGTTATAATTCGTAAAATAAATTGTCTAAATGTATATATTTTTTATTTATCACGTACTTTTAGGGGACATTTATTACTCCATTATTTGTATGGATTATATATGTGTTTTTTAATGAAATCTTCGAAGGCTTTTTAAGATATTTAAATCCAGATCTTTAAAATAATTTATAATTTTTTAAATATTATTTTCCTAATTAGATATCATTTCATTAAATAAGGTTGTAATCTTCTTTCCATATTAAATTTATTATAATATTTAAAAAAAAAAATAACGATTAAAATTAAAGTAATAAAGTTTCCCATGACTACACCATCAATTTTAAATTCCTTATAATTCAGTACAAGAACTAAATTAATGATTTGTTCTGCCTATTTAAAATCAAAATATATATGGTGATTTCACTAAATAGTTAAGAGTTTTTCATCTTCTAAAGTAAATGGGATAGTAATCTGTATTAGTTCCTTAAATTTCTTATTTAATATATATTTTGATGTCACACTTATTAAACTAATTAATATTGTATCTCTGGAAAATTCTCTATATTAATAATGTAAAATATTAAGACTAACTAACAACAATTTGAATTTTGTATTGAACTTTTAAATTTTCCAGTAAATGAACAGCTAATTATATATAAAAAATAGTGATATTGAGATAGGACTAAATTTAGACATTTTTATTGTTATAAGAATTACTAAAATTCATAAGTTATTACAATCGAATGAGATAATAAAAACTCAGTAATGTTTGTTCACTGATGTCACCCTAATAAACTTGAATCCTTTAAATCAACCATCGTTGTATGACTTATTTATTAAATTTTACTAATGTTTAATCCCACAGAATCAAGAATATACGAATTATTGGACTATTTATAACAATATTTAGTTTAGGTCAAAAATATATATATTAAAAAAAATTATCCACATGTAGATTTGGTTTGGAAATTTCTTGACTAAATATTTGCATTTTATTTATATTATATTTTTATAAATTAGTAAATATCGATAATTTTTTTGTTCATTTTTAACGTTGGAAATAATAATGTACACCATAAGTGTATGAACAATAGAATAGACTTACTGTTATCTATTTTATGTTGTCCACTGCTTATAACATCTGTTATCAATTTAAAATTTAAAAACAACCTTATCACTTATAATATATGGTTCAAACTTAATATCTTTATAATGTTGTGACGATAGCTTTATCAAAGTTTCACAAAATATAGGCGGAGGAACGAATTGATTTATAAAATAATAACTTTGAAAGTTTTTCCATATGGTTAAACCTTTTTGAATTTTTACTCTTTAAATAATTAATTTTAAAACTTGAATAGTTCTTTAATTATTTTAAAATCAACTTTTATATGCTTTTTTGTAACATTTTATTTTTGAAAATAATGAACTAAAAAAATTTTGAGTATATACTCTTATAATATGGTTACTAGAAATCTTACTGACATATTTTTACTAATGCGAACAAATTCTATTCAAAGTAGAGGAATATATTTATCTCAAAATGCAAAGCGTATTGATTATGATTCAGACAATGATGATGATGATGATGATGCTGATGATAAAGTAGCTTTAATGGAGACTGGACGTTCTAAATGGAACAAACTTAATTCACAAGAAATTAAAAAAACACCTCCCAGTTGGGCTGGATTGCTAGAAGAAGCACAATATTCTGTCACAAGGTAAATTTGTTTTAATATTATATTGTTCATTTTATTTGAAACTTTTCTGGTTTATTTTTTTTTTTAGTTGACTATATATTTAAGTTCATAAATGTAATATTATTTTATTTTCAAAGATTACAAAATAAATTAAAAGAACTTCAATCATTACAAGATGCTCAAGTTTTAAGACCTACACTGGATGATTCTACTTTGCAAGAAAAACGTATTCAGGATCTTACAATAGATATAACAAAGGTTTGTTGTAATCATAACTATCTAATGCATAGTATACTAACAATTACTGAAAAAAATATTTTACCCTTGTAAATTTGGCTTATATTTAGATAATGTATAAATGATCAATATAAAAAAAATAAAAAAATGTGTGTTTAATGTATAACTTTTACATGAATTTTTTTTATATTTTTATTTTTTATTTGTTGTTAAAATAAAGTATATTAAAAAGTTCTAGTAGCATAAAAATGTTTTAATTGATCTAGTTAGGGATATTTTTTTACAAAATTTATTTTTAAAAAATTGTACAAATTAAAATAAAATAAATTAGAATATAAATTACTATATTATGAACTGTATATTAAAAATAATGAAAATTCACTCTTATTGAAAACTTTATTAATATTAAAAATATGTATAACAGTTTCCAATTTATTTAGTTTTATAAAATGTTCAAATCTTCGTTTTAGTTTTGATAACTGTTTCATAAAAACATTCAAAAACAATTATTATTTTCTGCAATAAACTATTTTCAATTTGGGGTGTCATATTACAGTTTAAATTTGACATGAAAAATTAAAAAAATTTCAATGCAATATAATATAAATTTATCTGTATGTTTTGAAATTTTTTGGAAATTTCATGGTCTGACAAATAGATTAATTCTAACATTGCTCTTTATACTTCTTAATTAATTGTAAGTCTAGTTGCTTTATATCTTCTAAATAATATTTTTAGAGGATTTAAATTAAAACCTTTTTTTTTTTGTGGGGGTTTAAATTTGTCATTGAAATGTTTTAAAATCTTATTAAATTGTAAAATTTTATAGATATTTGGTTCAACTAAAAAAATGATTCAACAAATTCGATTGCATTCAGTTGGTAATTCAGGTAACAAAGAATCCCAATTATCCTACAATGTTTCATCAGCATTAGTAGCTTCATTACAAAACTTATTCAATGAATTTAGAAACTCTCAGCAACACTATCTAAATAGTAGGTGATTTTTTAAATTTATTAATACATTTTCTTTTATAATTACATAAATAACATGATTATTCTTCAGAAATAAAACACAGAGAAGCTATGTCATCTCAGATGTTTTTTGAAAGTGAAGATACATCAAATAATTCTGATTTATTAGACATGTTTGACAATATTTCAACAAATTCTTTTGGACATCATTTACAATCCCAGCAGCCAAATCAAACCCAAACATTTGCTGCAATATTAATTGAAGAAGAAAATGCTAAAATGGCTGCACAATGGGAAAAAGAAGCTAATCAAATAACCAATTCAGTTGTAGAATTAAATAATATATTTAAAGATCTAGCACATATGGTTGTTGAACAAGTAAGTTGAAAATGAATTAATATCTTGAACATCATATGATTACTATCATTTTAGGGTACTGTACTTGATCGCATTGACTATAATATTGAACAAACAGATATGAGAGTAAAAAAAGGAACATCAGAATTAATGAAGGCTGAAAAATATCATAGTAATAATAAAAAGATGAAATGTATTTTAATATTAGCTCCTATTTCTATAATATTATTAATTATACTTGATATTACAAAATTTTAAATTTCGGAACTTTATAATAAGGTGATCACTCATTTTTGTCTGTATAATATCAATTTATTACAAGAGAAATTGAAAAAAAAAAAAAGAGTATTAAATTTTTTTTGCAATTTTTACTATTTCATTTAATTTATTGAAATCAGATTAAATTATTTGATTATTATCCTAAACTAAACAAATGTATTAAACTTTAACTAAAAACATATTTGTCTTTTGTGAACTTGTTGAATTTTGAATTGAAATCTTTACTTATTATTTAATCAATTTTTTATTTTAAATAATATAATTAATTTTCTTCATGAGATTATTTCAAATTTGATACAAATTAGAAACATAAAAGTTATATTATTGATTACCAACTTAAAATATTATTAAATAATAAAAAGTACTCATAATTTGGTTTATTTTTCAATAATATTTTAAGGTTTTTAAAAGAGCTTATGAACTTATTTTATGTGCAATAAAATTAAGCTTTAATTAAAATTATTGTTTTTTATTTATTTTATGATTTTTTATTATTATNTAAAGAAACCACTATGCTTCATTTAATTTTTTGTTATTTGCAAACGAAAATTTTTTTGGTAAATTAATAAATTCAATGGAATTGAAACATATTTTATATTAATCATATTTTAGTTATAACTACTAACAATTGATAAATACTTCAGAATAATTAAAATTATGACAAGTTACAAAAATTGATATTTTGCGATCACAATACATATATTTTGTAGGTGGTATGTTAGGATGTAGAAAAAATACTTCCATAATAAGTTATGATAAACAAAAAAGGAACACTGAAATATTAAATAGTATAAAAAAGAAGTATATATTTACAATTGTTTTAAATACATAAATAAATTTTAATATACAATATTTATAGATTTAGTACTAATAGCGAAATAATGAGATGGAATAAATTTTAGTAAAGCATAATTGCTCCATTGGTTTTTTCTTCGATTATAGGTGATGGAGATTTCTTAGTGCGACTACAAGTTGCCCAAAAAACAGTAAAGACGTTTATCATATGCAAAATTGAAGCTAAAATAATGAACCTGAAATATAATATATTATTTTTTTTTAATTTTATTTTTTGATTAAATTTTTAAATAGAAATAAAATTAAATAAGTAAATCAATGACTATTATTGCAGTTGAACACACTAAATAATATTTTTAGTATTTATTTGTAAAATATTTTAGGTTATAATTGTTTAATCATTCATTGTAATGCAGGATCTTTCATTCACCACATTTCTTTTGTATTCTGAATTTAATAGAGAGTTTAGGAAGGGTATGGGAAAAATTGACTAATGAGCAACTGAAGATGTTAGAAAGTACTTAGCTTTTCAGTTCACAAATTAGCTCTTCAAAAATTGTATATATATATATATATATCACTAAATAAATTTATTTTTTAGGATGAAGAGAAATATAATTAGTTTATTTTCTAGTTGGAAAATTAATTTTAAGGACATACCTAAGAAGTAGATGAATTTTTTTTTGACAAAAAAAAAAGGGTTTTTTCCAATAAACTTAAATTTTTAGGAGTATAAAAATATCACCAATATATTATATCGATGGCAGAAAAATCTCAAAAATCTTCTGTCTGGCCCTCCCACATTACCCTAACATAAACTTAGTTTTGAGTGAAAGATGCATAAAAAATCATTATTATGTTCAAACAAATAAAAATTTTATCTTTATATGTATTTATTTTTATCATGGCTACTTTTCTTTTGTTATAACAATCGTGATACGATGAATTAGGTGACAACTGATTCATATTTTTAAATAATCAAATTAGATGAATCAAAATCAGATTATAGTGTTTTGAAGTAAAATTTATATACAATTGATGGATATTAAAATTTACCAAAATGAGTAGCCTAAAGATGCATTCCCTTCAGATGTCCATTTATTTCGACGATCGTCTTTGCTCATTACATTGAACTGTAGTCTTTGGTAGAACTGTGTTACCCACAGGCCAGCCGCAAACAACTCAAAAAGTACTTGAAAAGTAATAATGAGTATATTCATAAATATATTTTTAAGATTTAACAATGTAAAAGTTAAAAAGTTTATGAAAACTTACTTGCGCTAATATTCCAGAAATAAAGGCCAGGCACACCTGCAAGAGCGGAAATGGGAGTTATGGCTGAATTAATGACGGCAAAAACAGCTGCAGCTATAGTCATGGTTAAACCAGCCATTATAAAAATTACAGTCAAAACCCACAAGCTATAAATCATTATTTCTGGGTCATTTTTCATCATTTCTATCACTATAATAGAAATAAAAAACAGCATAAAAAATTGTTTTACAAGACGTTTTTATAAGAAAACCTTATGTATTTATTATTCTTTAAACAAAATATTTTTATGGTAATAAATTTATATAAATATAACTTTGATTTATTCATTAATCTGATATAAGAAAAATTAAAAAAATGTTCGTGTATGTTTTATTAATTAACCATAACAAAACATACAGATCAAATTATTAAAATCATATGAGGTAAATTTTTTCCAAAAGAAAACCAAAGTAATTATTTTAAAATCGAAAACGTTAGTACAAAATGAAAGCGTTCCATTTTATTAGTTTTTCATGACAGCAAAAGACATTTTTTTATGGAAGCTTACCGCGAAGGACCATTTGAAAAATCTTTAATGTGGATTACAGATATTTTCTCATCTTTATTAAAAATTGACAAAATTTTTAATTAAATTAAAAGTATTAAAATATGACAAACGAAAAATTGGAGCTGCTACATTATTGTACTGACGCTTTTAGTTCACTAACGAGGCTTGTTTGTAAAGTTTTATGTTATTATTTAACTGATATTCAGTTTAATATTGTACGTTTTCGAGCACTACCCACACATTTATTGTAATTATCATAGCCCAAAAGACAAAAAATATGTATACTTTCACAAAAGATGACTCTACTTAGCAAGAGTTGAGGTGTCTAAGATATCTATTGGTACATAATATAATACAATTGTTAATAGTAAGTACTTTGAAATGCATGTTCGTATGCGTGTTCTTAATGTCGTGCATTTACTACCACCCAAGTACCCAAGAGAGGTTAGCACGCAGAACGCTAAATAGAACTATTTTTGTATCAAGAAACGCAACTTGCCGTCTCGTGATTCTCTCGAGAGAAACTAACAAAATAGAATCGGTTCTATAAGTCTGTGTAACAATGGGCGTATATTGGTTAATATAAAATGTTCATAAGACTTACGATGCACCTACATGCCTAATTATGGATTCTACAGAGGATAATCGTGCATCGTGTGGGTACCACGACAAAGCATTAAGAAGCACACGGTATAACAAAACATTAATTCAGTTTTGGTTTTTACAAGTTGTAAAGGTCAGGTTTTTCACTTTGACCGGTCTACTTTTGAAACAGAATTATGTAAATATATTTTTTTAACTAATGAGGGATAGACATACCAAATGATAATGCTAGTTTTTGTCATATAAAGATTTTGTTACCTCAGTGTTTATATTTGTAAATAAATTTGCATTATAATTTATCTTTCAATATAATAACATTGAGTATAAACATAGACACAATCTGAAGGGGTTAAGAGGCGTTTAACTCTCCCAACATCTGCAATAACCCACAAAAAATTATAAAAATTCCATTTATTTTTATATAAAAATATTTTTTAAGGTAGATAGAAATTAAATTAGACTTTCTAAATATTTTTCTCAAAATGCGCTTATGAGTATAACAAAAAAATTGTAGGTGTTTTTAAGTTTTTTTTCTGTCTCTGAGACATACAATAATATACATAATTTGTACTAGAGTCAAGTATTTCAATATTTTTAATTTTAATTAATAATTTAAAATATATTATTAATTTTTAAGTAATATGTATTCATAGAAAAAACTTAGTTTCCCTTTGCTCCTTAATTTTGTTCATGCGTGTTATTTGAAGTCTTTCAGAGATGAAATGTGAAAAAAGTAGTACCTTAACGTGTTAAAGATGTTTTTAAAAAAAAAAAATCATCCCTATCTATTTCAAGAATCATTCTCAAATTTTTGGGTTTAACTGTATTTTAATGAACTGCAATGTATAATTGTTCGTTTATAAATATTTTAGGAGCACAAAAAAACCTTTTTATTGTTACCTATAAAAAATCTTACCGTCAACGCTGTATGTGCGTAGACCATATCCAATGTTAAGATATTTGTCACCATAGAATAATCCAAGATTGACTTGGCCCACGGACTCGGTAGTGTTCGATGTACGTCTTGCGGATGCTACCACCCACCTCTTGGTACCTAAAGCGGCACCAAGCAGGCCGATGGCTGCGCACGAATAGATAAACGTGCAAAATATAAGTCGTCTCTTGTTCAAACTCATCGTGTCCACAGCGTTCCACAACAGTACCAAATCGTTAACCTATTAATAATATATTAAAACTAATATTTTGTCTATAATATTGAATTTGTCAATCATAAACAATGCAAATGTAAACAAATTACTATCTCAAGTTACAAAAAATCTTAATTCTGTATTCTACAAAAACATTTAAATTTAATCAAACTGAACAACTCTCCATGATATGTATTATTATGATTATTATATTTAACAAACTCTCAAAGCATAAAAGTATCACAAATATTCATCCCTGAACGAAAGTTATCAAAAAGAAGATGAAGTTTCCTAGATGATATTTTATATGATTTTTATAACATAAAATTGTATATTTTTTATATTAAAATTCCGCTCTAAAAAACTTTGCTTGTGATGGTTATAGTGGGAAAATCTTATATAAATATATATTTTAAATAATACGGAAACGAAGAAATTATGGCGTAATGTCATCGTTTAATTTACAGCCGTATTATTTTGCTAGTGAAGAGTAAGGGTAAATCTAAAAAGTAAGTGTTCTCAGACGTTGTTAATTTCAGATACGTAACAACAGAGTGGCCCAGCGTTTAACAACACATTGTTTTTTACACTTTATTGGTTTCGTTTTTCTTTTTCCATCCATATAATCTGTCGTTATTTAACAATGGCTAGTATTTTCTATAGAATTTTTGTCTTCACAGTACTGGGCAGCTGTCAGACATACGAAGGGTTATTAAAAAAAAAAAAAAACACGCCCTAATGATATCTTTTAATATCCTATACAGTAAACAGTTTACTGTAAACTATATTAACCATTGTGTATATAAATAATGAACTTAAATTACTCGGTAAAACTGTGATCGTTTTTCTAAATGGATACAGTAAAATTCAACTAAGGGTTAATTAACGTTAAAAAAACCATCACGTTTATTACACTTTACAACTATATGGAAGTTGTTTAAGTATAGCATACCTTACGCGACTGTCATGTCAATCAATTGAAACTCACTATTTGATTAAGTAAAATTATGACTTTCACTGTTACGGTATACAGATTTAAAAAATGGAATTAATTTCACCCATAAGATGCAGGCTATACAAAAAATTACAATAATTTATTTTTATTTGCTGTTGTGCAGAAGTGAAGTTACACTTCATTACTATAGGAAATAACGAAAACAAATATCAAAACGAGGCACTAACGCGTTAAAAAATTGGAAGTTAAGTTAGTTTAACTTTTTAATTTAATCAGTTAGTTTTTTACACTAACTTAACTAGTATCTTTTTAATGTGAGTTCTTCGTCGAGCAACTTTAACTTAATAAGTAACTTTTATTTCTTGGAAAATTAAGTTGAAATTCAGTAATTGTAATTAATAGACTACTTAATATTGTAAAGAAATAAAATAAATTTTTTACGAGAAATTTAAAATAATAAAAAAAATATGCAAGTTATACCCCGTGGAGGTATTGTCTTTGATCAATATGTTTAGGTTCTAAACAGCAATAACAGATTTAAGTTAAAAAGTTAAAAACATTTTTTAAAGTAACTAGAAACTTATCTGAATTTACTATAAAAACTTAGTAACTTATAATTTTATTTGATTTTAGCTTCGATGCGTTTTAAAGTCTAACTTGACTTCACAATTTGAAAAAAATGACTATTTTCAATAGGTTAAAAAAAATGTTTAAGTACTTGTTCATAGCAAAATAAGCTTAAGACGTTCTTATAACTACACCCAAAGAAAAACCTCAATTAATTTTGATAGAGAAATTTTATCAAGGGTTTATGATAATGTTTTTTCAATACGAACAAAATAATTATTCTTATGAATAATTATTGTTCAAGACAAGAAAAAAAAATATCATATTGATAAATATATCATAGATTCAATAGTAATGACATATTTATCAAATTGAACAATGAATTTATTATATAGATCGAGGTTTTTCTCTGGGTGTATATTTAACATGTTTTATGAATGACTATTATATTATTATACAGGGTGTTCAGTAAGTCAGGAAACGGGTTTCTATTGCTCTCATTGTTTGTAATAATGAGAACAATAGATACCCGTTTCCTGACTTACTGAACACCCTGTATAGATTAACATAAGATTTAAATTTACAGAATTTATCAATTTTATACAGTATAATAAATAGATTTTCATTTCAATTCACTAAATTATTCAGTCACCAACATTGCTTAATAACCAGTATTTCGTATACATTGTAAATTAATAATATTTTTAGAGATTAATCAATTTTTTAAGACTATTTTTATTTATGTTCAAATTTTACTTACAGTATTTACTATTAATACGGGAAAATTTATTTTAAATTATTATATTTACTTGGAAAACATTGTATAAAATTTTTTTTTTAATAATTTAATTACACTTTTGAACTTATAATACAAAAATAAAAGCCACACTTCAAAAAATTCAACTCTAGGCTACGGCTTACTTTATCCCTTAAATACGCTACTATTTTTATTTAAAAACAAAAATTTTACATTTTATAAATACATATAATTATAACAAAATATGAATAATTTTTTTTTTTAGGGTATGATCACAGTAATTATTAAAATATATATATATATATTTATATTTGTAACCGTGACCATTAGTTCAATTGCACACACATTGCAGTCTGAAGCAACTTCACCTACTTAAAACTAATCTAATAGATTTTTCTGAGAAACCTGTCGATAGAATAATGATCAGTGGACCTACTTCCGAGCTGGTTATGGTCTGAACCATTGCATGTTGCATTTTTCAATTTTAAACGTTTTCGTTCTTAATCTGTCATACAATAGTTGCGATAAAATTTCCGAATTGATTTATAAAATAATATTTCAATTTAGGAAAGCAAAATGAATTTTTAATTATTTTTTTTTTAAATGTAATTTATGGAAATTAATGCATTTGAGAGGGTAAAAAGAAAGATTATATTAATAATTAATATAATCCAATTATTGGACTGCCATGCCGAATTTAATTATTTTTATAACAATGAAATAATAGTAAAACAGATCAATTGTTTTATTTTAAAAAATGCTAATATCCTATGTAGGTATATTTAATATCTTGATTATGACTATTAATGTTTAATCAGAACGCTTGGGAAGAACCATTTATTTCTGCTAATTGCACTAAAGTGTAAAACGAATGAAAATAAAAGATCAAATTCATGCGTATTCTTAATAAATGGATAAAAAAAAAAACGGGCCAGTGAATAAGTAGTACTCGACTAATAAAAAAGATTACGATATGTTTTACTCCAACACGACTAGTCCTTTATTACCACTTGTGTATTACAACCAACGGTCATGTCAGCGCTATTTTCTTATGTATGAGTACAATATGGTGATTTCAGTTTCAACCCTTTTTCAAATTTACATCACTTATCACAAAATGTAAACTGTAATCTATGTATAATATTATAAATAGCATTATTAAAAAAATCATATTCTCTTCACTAAAAACATATGAACAATATTCATGAAATCTAAAATAACAACAAAACCTTTAAGTATGTGTTTTTATTGTACATCATTTTAATATATAATCAGAGCTTTTCTGTTATTTTCTACACTATTTGATGTTGACTAAATCTAAATGATAAATATTCAGTGAAAACAATTTCCAAGGTCGAATAGATGAGCATTAACTCATTTAGTTTCGGGTGTAACTCCAAATGAATATGACTTTATTATTATTTAACATTGAATCTATTGTCATTTATACAAAGAGAAAAAGAGAAAATTTTTTCTTATTTATTTTAATGGAAATTATAAAAACAATTTCAAAAACTCTGTACTTCTATATTAACACGTCTAATTAAATTTTAATTATAGGTATTTTTCTAGATGAGGTCAAGGCATCTTCTAATGTATGGTTCATCAATTTTTATACGAGCAAAATAATATATGCAATTAGATTTTTAATAGAATCATAATAAAATTTAACATACTACTATTTATGTAACACTAACAATGAATCGAATTATTTTATAAAAAATTTATGGTTATATTCTTAACCCAATCCTTTCTTTTAAATAAAAGGTTCGCATTTTACCATTAAGAGGTATATTTTATGATAATAACTATTATTTTACAGTAGTTAAAAAAAAGACATCAAGAACAGGAAGTGAGACACTTGAAATGAGTTATTCTTACAACTATGTAGGCTGGAGAACAATAAGTGAATTATTTAAATTAAAAACGACTTTGCCATTAACTCGTAGTTATCTAGGGTGAAGGTTAAAAAACGGAGAGTTTACCAAAGTGAGATTAAATGCGTGGGATTTCAGAAGACGTGTCTTTAACCGAAGATATAACCGAGGGGCGCAGCGAAAGTAGGAAATCATAATATCATTTTGAAAACTAACCATCCGTGACATATTTCAAATTAGGCACGCGAGATCATATTTAAAGTTCATAATAGAGGGACTTCAAAGAGTAGAAAGTCGAGAATATGTTTGTAAAATTAATATTGTAAATGATTTAAATTAATTTTTTTTAATTTAAATATTTTTAATAGGCTAGTAAAACCAACTGTATATTTTATAATATAAATCTCACCAAGATATAAGTATGAAACACTAATATTGTTAAATTTAACAAATCAATGGTTACCGCAGCGTACAATTAAAGTCACTGGGTGCGGTTGCGGGTAATAAATAAGATACATAAATATTTAAATATAGTAATCAGTAAAGCACGAAAAGCCAGCCAAAAGTGTCAATAAGTATTAATTTAGCTGTGCTGAAGTAATATAATCCTTATTAAGGTTAAATTTCACAAATTATAACATAAATAGGCCCCTAAGCATAAGTGTACACATATGATTGTTATTGAATGGTATGACTCGATTCAAGTGAGTAACTTTATCCTGCACGATTTTTTATTTGCCAGAAGGTATACATGAAACCTCTCAATTTAAGATGGGTACGTAGGATAAGCTTTACTGTTAACTAAATCAGTTAGCATTCCATAGTGTAAAGTGTTCGATTACAATGTGTACATTTTGTTTTTATTATTAAA